ATATATACGTGCCAAAGATTAGAGGTGTTGCAGCAAGAGAGAACAAACACAAAAGAATAAAGAGGAGAGATATAAAGACCACAGTTGTTTTATAGAAAAGGAAAGAATGAAAAAAACACACCAGAGAACCCGCCAACCATCCACACACAAGAATCAAGGAGAATGTGCAGCTATGATTTACTGAATCTGCCCATAAAAACCTATCATCATGTACAGCTAGATCCATAAACAACAAGTGCATTTAATTTCTACACTTCAACCCCTGTTGAGGGAAGGGCAAAGACGACAAGGCAAGCCATAGAAAGTTCCCACCAAACGTTAAAAAATCTCATCTAATGTTGTATCAACAACAATATCTATCGTTGTTGTTGTTACTGATCCAGTAGCATCTGAGCGTTAACTCTTCTGTATGAAGCCATTCTATAATAGTAGAGGCAGTTAGACGTGTGGGGTGGCTTGGGAAGGAAACTCCCCTCAGATCGGTTAGTTTTCTACAGAAGAACAGATTATGTTCCACTGTCTCTGAGGGGTAGTCACATAGTGGGCAGGCAGCAGACTGCTTTACTCCAATTCGGTTGAGATGTTCATTGAGGGTACATGTTGTGTTTTAAGCTGGAAGATTATGGATTGACAATGTCAATCAATAAAGAATTTTCTTCTATTCTTCTTCTCCATTCTCCTTGAAGACCTCAGAGATAGACAATGGTAGTTCTCTCAACATGAAGTGGTATTCGTATTAGATTACTGTCCTTCACCTGTCAGCAACTGTAAGTTCATTTTCAAAACTACTCTCAACTCTATTTACATGACACAACGTTTCTTCAGTTTTAGGTAAGGTTTTGTTAAGAGAAATTTCACAAGCAGCTGGTCAAAGCAGCTGTACTCTTCCTTGATTTTCTAGACAATAATAAATGTTCATGCATTTTTAAACTTGTTAAAATTTCAGAGCAAGCACAATATCATGGACAATGAACCTCTTAGTTTTTAGTTTTTATCCAGAAAGATTATGAACTCGGGTAAAGCAATCCTTTGATCTAAGGCATGAAAATCCAGAACAAAAAGCAATAGTTATCAAACAATCAAGTCTTCAACAAAGAAGCAAACCATAAATTTCAACCAGAGAAGCAATCATCTTTTGTCTAAAAATTGTTTAAACCCTGAAAGAAATGTTCAGATTCTAAAATGCAACGGCAACATCATTACCTGGCACTGGCCTACCACAGCCATAACCGCCTGTGCCCTTTCCACGGATTTCAAACAGGCCCCCGAGGATGACATTGGCACCGGCGACGTTCACATCAACTTGACTCCGGTCGGTGGAGCAGACTTGTTGAGCCAGGTCCTGACCTCCACACAGGCCGAGGAAGACCACAACCGAAATGAGTTGTACCACCCACATCTTTTTCTGAAATTTAAAAAAAAAAAAAAGCTAAAGTTTTAAGAGAAAGTGTAATACAATTACCTTACCCTCTCTCCCTCCCTCC